TTACTAGTGCTTTCTACTGGGTCATTCTGAGTAAGACCCCAAACTGCTGATGTTTTAGCTGCAAAGGATTGTATCTGAAAAAAACCACCTACTCTCATAGGAATCTGCCTATACAATAAGATTATCCACTCAAATCACAGTGAAAGGTCAAAGCAGAATGCTAAAGCACATGCTTAATACCAGGGCTTCTTAAACAATTTCCATTCATGACCCCATTTCACCCTAGAAATTTGTACATAGCTAAAAAAGTGGTTCCCAACCTTTTTTTGACCAGGACCACTTGACGGGGTCCACTTTCCAATGTTAGTACCAAAAGGGTTATAAATCAGTTTTTGATCAACTTTAGATTTGGTTTGGTTATTTGGGGTGCTGATTCAGAAAATTGCATTGGATAGACCACATCAGCTCTGGTTTCTGGTACAGAATATATGCCATCCAGTAGTCACCATCTGCTTGCCCACAGAAAACCATATTGAATAAGGCTTGGCACTATAAGAGGGTTTTGCGAGACGAAACATTCTTGTTGCCATAGTGTAATAACATAGAATCATAGAATCAAAGAGTTGGAAGAGACCTCATGGGCCATCCAGTCCAACCCCCTGCCAAGAAGCAGGAATATTGCATTCAAATCACCCCTGACAAATGGTGAGGATGCAGACCATATTTTAGTTCTTGTGGACCACTGGTGATCCACAGACCATAGATTGGGAACCACTGGTGTATAGTTCCAAATCCCAGAAGCACTTTAGTCAGTTCCAAGACCACCGCACACTGCACACCACACTTATACTATAATCCCATATCCCTCCGACACATCAGCACTTTTAATCCTGTACCCCTACTCTGGCCGGCTCAGTTTTTAATAATGTATTGTGCCTGTTGTTTTTGCTTTATTCTGTTTTAATTGTTTGATTTGCTTAGATTGTATTGTTATGTTGTGTGTTGAGGCCTCGGCCTGTGTAAGCCGCATCGAATCCTTCGGGAGATGCTAGCGGGGTACAAATAAAGTTATAATAATAATAATAATAATAATAATAATAATAATAATTATTATTATTATTATTATTATTATTATTATAGAAAATAGGTATACAAATTAAACTTTAATAAATCAGATAGTTAAATCCATGGATGTGGAGGGCCAACAGTCCCCTAGCAATAAAATTAATCCATGTTTAAGACCCAAGTACATAAAAAGTCCTTAAGTAAAATACAGTGGACCATCAATATCCACTGGGGTTTGGTTGTAGGGTCCTCTATGGATACCAAAAACCATTGATGCTCAAGTTCCATGATATACAAGGGTGTAATAAAATGATGTGTCTTATATAAAATGACAAAGTCAATGTTTGCTTTTTGGTTATGTGTGTGTATGTATTCATGATGTGAACAGTTGAGTCTATGAATACAATGAGCCCACCCTCTTCCAAGCCAAGTTCGGTAAGAAGATTAAGGTGTATAAAAGCAAGAGTACACCGTTGGGGAGAAGGAAGGACAGTAAATGTCATGGGAGTTTGAAGGGGTTTCTTCCTTTGCCCTTACATATCTCCTCCATCTTCCATCAAATGGGGTCCCAATCCACAGTTTAAGAAACTTTGCTTTATACAACCAATCAGAACCTCTGGCAGTTCCAAGTAGGAAATACTCAATTTCTGGAGCAAGAACTTGGATAAGGCAGTTTCTTTAGTGAAGTTGACACTTTGCTTTTCTTCAATTTTCTTTGGTGCTGAAATATGTTAAATCATATGAGTGGGAGTCTACACACAAAAGAAAACACAGCAGTTTTTTTTTCTCCAAAAGCATTTTATTAAAAATATAGCAACTTCCCTGTTGATCTCACCAACATTTGTATTGATACTATTGATAACAACTTGTATACGTTTTGTGAATGTTTCTTTGTACTGCAGCTCAATCACATCCATTACAGATCATTAAAAATTCAACGAAGATGAATCCCAGTAGGATATCTTGCTGGTATCTTTAATGTGTATTCTTAGAGAAAAGATTAAAAAGTTTCATTTAACAACTCAAATATCTGTCGAGTGGGCTTTTTGTATGAGCCCTTGGCAGAAATTCTGCACACAGTTCTCCAAGAAGCCAATAAAGCTTGAGAGGACATGAATAAACAGCTTTTCCCTCCTCTTTATTCTTGGCTATAAGACATACAGTTGATAAGGGGATTCTTGGAGGCGGGTGGCAGAATATGAAGTGGCGGTGCATTACCTATGGCTAGTAAAGGTAAAGGTAAAGATTTCCCCTTGACATTAAGTCTAGTTGTGTCCGACTCTGGGGAGTGGTGCTCATCTCCATTTTTAAGGCTAGTATGTACATCCTCCTTTTTTGATGGCACTTTTGCAGGCTTCCTACTGTAAATTCATCACCTCCATCCAGATTAGTGAAGTTCCAGATATGTGTGTATGCGTATACCTCACTGTAGTCTAAAACAATCCATATGACGGTAGATTTTCCACTTCTGAATCAGAAAGGCTCAGATAGCCTGCTTTGTTGACATCAGCTGCAGATCTGTCCAGGGTGCTGAAACACCCATCTCACTGTGTCTTCAATATTTCCTGCCTCTCTTGGGCCCCTTCTGCATTGCCATATAAAATCCAGATTATCTGCTTTGAAGTGGATTATATGGCAGTGTAGACTCATATAATCCAGTTCAAAGCAGATAATGTGGATTATCTGCTTTGATAATCTGGTTTATATGGCAGTGTAGAAGGGGCCTCAATATTCTATTCTAGCCCTTTTTTCTGGAATATTTCCTCATCAGCTTTCTCACTGTGGGATCATCCTTCCCAGAACAGAAAAGTGGGTAGTTTTGTTATTAAAAATCTCATTTTTAAAAGGTAAAAAGCAGTAAATAGAGTTCCATAAACTAACTTAAGGACACAGCTGTCACTTCTCTCCTTGCACTCTTTCTCTCTGTATGAGTGAAGTAGGCTTGCAATATATTACTTGTTGAGTAGGAATACTCCTCTCAAAGCACTAAAATCCATGGTTTCTATTCAGCTGGCACAAAGCATAGAGGGGAGAAACTCTTTAGCCTCCTTCTCCATCCTCTATCCTCACACTTTTCCTCTCTGAAAACAAAAGGGATGCTATATGCCTCAAAATTTCTCCCATAATGGTCTCATCACACCTGGCTTTGTTCAAATGGCTATCCCACATCCCTCCCCCACCTTCTCTCTCCTGCTTCCAGCCTCAGGGCTCTTATATATAACCCAGAATATCAAGGCAGATAATCCACAATATCTGTTTTGAACAGGATTACCTGAGTCCACACTGCGATATAATGCAGTTCAATGTGGATTTTATACAGCTGTGTGGAAAGGGCTTCAGACTTCCCCTCTCCATTTCTGCACTAGCAGCCAAAATGGGAGGAAAAGGAGTGAAGAGAAAGAAAGGCAAAAAAGAAAGGAAGGAAGGAAGGAAGGAAGGAAGAAAGAAAGTAAGAAAGAAAGTAAGAAAGAAAGAAAGAAAGAAAGAAAGAAAGACATCTCCTAAATCTCCATTCAGGATTAGTCCATCTGTTATGCACAGATATAGGGTGGCTGAGACCTGGTGTAAAAACAATACATGAGAAAAGGATCTAGGAGTTTTACTAGAACACAAGCTGAACACAAGTTAGTAGTGTGATAAAGCAGCTAAAAAGCCAATGTGATTCTAGGTTAGACTGATAGAAGAATAGTATCTAGATCAGTGGTTCTCAACCTGTGGATCCCCAGATGTTTTGGCCTTTAACTCCCAGAGATCCTAACAGCTGGTAAACTGGCTGGGATTTCTGGGAGTTGTAGGCCAAAACACCTGGGGACCCACAGGTTAAGAACCACTGGTCTAGATCAAGGGAAGGAGTAGTCTCACTCTACTCTGTGTTGGTCAGACATCTCCTGAAATTTTATCTATTATTTGAACTTATATGCCGCCACTCCCCTGGGGCTTGGAGCGGCTTACAAGAATGGCTAAAATCTAACAAAATTTAAAAGCAATTTAAAACAATTTAAAAACATTATTTCTGGGTGCCCAGAAATATTGTTCTGGGCACCCCAATTGAAGAAGGATATTGACAACTTGGAATGGTCCAGAGAAGGGCGACAAAAATGATCAAAGGTTTAGAAGCTGATCTGTAGGCGGAATCATAGAAGCTTACAGTTGGAAGAGATCACAAGGATCATCCAGTCAAAACCCCTGCCATGCAGAAAAACACAATCAAAGCACCTTGGCAGATGGCCATCCAGCCTCTCTCTAAAAGCCTCCAGGGAAGGAGCTTCCACCAGACTCCGAGGCAGAGAGTTCCACTGCCAAACAGTAATCTTTTGTACTGACCTTTAGCTCTACCTGTGGAGACCCAAGGAAAATATGCTCTTTCCAATCCCATCCACTTTGCAATGAGAATCAAAGAGTACCACATAGTTTTATTTGATGTTTTGTAACACTTTACTAGGAGGGTTCCTTATAGAATATGTTCCAATGTCCTCACATGCATTGCCCCAGAGCTCCTTATGTTGAACAGCAAGGTCTGAAAGTTGAAGTCAATATTTGGCTGTGAAACAGATGGCTCCTTCAGATGGGGCAAATGTCTAAGGCTGCAGCAACAGCTGTTATTGCTTTCATTTTTTTTAAAAAAATCCCAAAGGACTTTCTGTTATCCCAGATTATTTTCTGGTAATCCCTGTCACCAGGTGCAACCTTTTATTCCCACCCTCAAGGCAATTCCTTTTTAATTCTGAGATGTATCAGAAAAGTAAAAGTCTCTCCTTCTCTTGGGAGTGAAATGACACTTTTGATCTATAACACCATGACTTCAATTAAAAAAATATTACTGTTATTACTGTTGTTGCCATTGAATGAATGCCTGTTGTGAAGCCGCCCTGAGTCCCCCTCCAGGGGTGAGAAGAATGGGATACAAACATGCAAAATAACTAACTAACTAAATAAACAAACAAATAAACACCTGACAAACCCCAAGGAGGTACATTGTGAAAATCCCATCCACTATGACCCACATGGAAGACTACACACTAGGTTAGTTTAGGTTAATCATTTATTCACTCTCAGTTGATCTTGCCTACTATGAAGAGGAACAGGCCACATTTGCCTCCTAGAGCTCATTAGGGATAGAAATTCAACAAACAAGCCAAATAACAAGTGAACAATATGAGAAGGTGGCTTAATTTTCAAACTGTGCAACAAACAACACCAGTGGGTTGAACACATGGATTTTTTTTCCATGTCAGGAGCGACTTGAGAAATTGCATGTTAGTTGTTGTGTGGGAGAATTGGTCATCTGCAAGGACGTTGCCCAGGGGACGCCAAGATGTTTTGATGTTTTACCATCCTTTGTGGGAGACTACTCTCATGTCCCCGCATGGGGAGCTGGGGCTGACAGAGGGAGCTCATCCGCACTCTCCTTGGATTCAAACCTGCGACCTGTCAGTCTTTAGTCCTGCTGGCACAAGGGCTTAACCCACTGCACCAACAGGGGCTCCTAACACATCGATATTTATCACACAACAAGGTTGTTTTGTTATAAGATAGAGCAACGTTTTTCAAACTCTGCTCCTCTGGGTGTTTTGGACTTCCAGCTCCCAGAAATCCCAGCTGTTAGGAATTGTGGGAGCTGAAGTCCAAAACATCTGAATGAGCAGAGTTTGAGAAACACTGAGGGTGAGCAATCACCATGAATCAAAGTTCTGGCTTGAGATTTCCATCACCTTCTATTGAACTGTTTTTCAATAGAATCAGTGATGAGGAGTTGTTATGATATCTCCATTGTAGCTCATTTCTCTTCTCTATATTGTCACTACCTGCTATTTTGTCATACATCACCATGATGGCTCCATGTGGAAAAAGTGATGGCATTTTTTCAAGTTGGGCAAAACTAAAATCAGGTAGTGTATATGCACGTGTGTAGACATGCATGTGTTTGCTAATCTGCAAGTCCGAACTGAATCTTCAAGGTTAATGGCAAGATGGGGGGAAGTGCCTTTGTGATTTCTTGAATGCATGGCTTTCTGAACATCATATGTTCAGACGTTTCTGGGGCAGCAAAAGCCTTCTGTGCTTTTGCATGCCTCTAGTCAAAGAAAGAGAGAGGGAGTGAATTAAGTAGTAATTCTGACGTCATTAGGATTGGAAGGATACCTCTGTCTTGCTTGGAGGGGATGGAGGCAGCATATGGCAAAAAGTGAAAATTATACAGGAGGATAGCAAGTTGCCTTGAAGCATAAGGAGAATGTTAGTAATTAGCCAGCCCAGTAAGCAAGTGGTAATGCTTATGGCAAGACTGGAGTAGAATGGTCCTTTCCTCTTTGTGATCAAATCTACCTCTTTCACAATTGGCTGTTTCAATTTCATTGCATTTGTATCCACAATTGCCATTTAAACTGGGACAGCATTCCAGACTTAGACAATAGCCTTGTGGCAATATCCTAAAGCAGTCCCAGGGAAACTGTGGGTCTCCATTTACTGAGATAAATGCATTTCCTTACTTGGAAGTAAGCCTCATGGCTACTATGATGATCTCCATACTAGCGAAAGGAGGAAATTTTGCTGTTACCGCCACAAGGATCCCAGTAGAAAACATCATTGCCAACATCGAATCAGCAATGTATCGCCTCCCCGAGGAAGAAGCAGAAGAAGTAAGAGGGGAAGCAGCAAGGATCCTGAAAAAGGAAAAACTTCCCTCCAGTAACATTACAAGGAAGGAAAGACAAGCCACCAGAGACCTCAACTCAGACCCTGAGATCATCATTCTCCCAGCAGACAAGGGGAATGCCACAGTAATCATGGATACAGAACAATACAAGGAGAAGGTCAGAAAACTCCTGGATCCTACTATATGCAGAAAAGTTAAACAAGACCCAACTTCCAAAATAACCAGGAAACCCAACACTTTGATTAAGACCTCCTCCATCAACTTCGACATACAACAACAGCTATGTAAATCGGAAGCCCTTCCACCTAGGCTTTATGGACTCCCAAAGATCCATAAGGAATCCATCCCACTCAGACCCATTGTGAGTGCCATTGGATCCCCCACGTACGACTTAGCAAAATTTCTTGCTGCACAGTTACAAAGCCATATTGGGCTCACTACACACTACATCTTGGACTCAGCCCACTTCCTAGAAAAAATCAGCAATTTCAAGTCAAATACCAATGACAAACTGATCAGCTTTGATGTGGTGTCTCTATTTACCATGGTCCCAGTAGCAGACACCATGGCACTAATCAACCAGAAGTTCCCAGAAGACATCACAGCTCTGTTTCACCATTGCCTCACCACCAGCTACTTTCAGTGGGACAATGAATTCTACAAACAGAAAGATGGAGTAGCTATGGGGAGCCCTCTCAGCCCGGTCATAGCTAATTTCTACATGGAACACTTTGAAAAACAAGCCCTGGAAACAGCAACAAAAAAGCCCACGATATGGTTCAGATATGTGGATGACACCTTCACCATTTGGAGCCATGGAGAAGAAGAACTCAACAGGTTCCTGGACCATCTGAACAGCATCCACCCAAAAATCCAGTTCACCATGGAAAAAGAAAATGAAGGAAGACTGCCTTTTCCAGATGTCCTAGTCATCCGCAAACCAGATCAACAATTGGGTCACACCGTCTACAGAAAACCCACACACACAGATAGATATCTACATAAAAACTCCAACCATCACCCAAGTCAAAAAAGAAGCACCATTAAAACCTTGGCAGACCGTGCAAAAAGAATCTGCGAACCCCACCTCCTCCAAGATGAACTGAACCACCTCAACTGGGCTCTCCAGGCCAATGGATACTCCACCTCAGACATCAGAAGAGCTGCAAGACCAAGAACAAGCCACGAGAGTAAAGATGAAGATCCACCCAGAAAAGTGTTCTTGCCATACATCAAGGGAACCACTGACCGCATAGGGAAGCTGATGAGAAAACACAACATACAAACTATCTACAGACCCACCAAGAAAATCCAACAAATGCTACGTTCAGCAAAGGACAAGAGGGATCCTCTCACCTCTGCAGGAGTCTACCGTATACCATGCAGCTGTGGACAAGTCTACATAGGGACCACCAAACGCAGCATTGCCCAAACACGAATCAAGGAACATGAAAGGCACTGCAGACTACTTCAGCCAGAGAAGTCAGCCATAGCAGAGCACCTGATGAACCAACCTGGACACAGCATATTATTTGAGAACACAGAAATGCTGGACCACTCTCACAACCACCATGTCAGACTACACAGAGAAGCCATTGAAATCCACAAGCATGTGGACAATTTCAACAGAAAGTAGGAAACCATGAAAATGAACAAAATCTGGCTACCAGTATTTAAAAAAAACTCTAAAATTACAACAGCACAACAACAGAGAGGAAACAAACAAGGACATCTAATCACCTCTCAACAAAAGTTTGCTCCAGGCACAGTCAGGCCATTATATGCTAATCAAGGTGGTCAGTTGAAACATTCACACCTAGCTCCAGCAGACAAGAGTCCTTTGTCCCACCCTGGTCATTCCACATATATATAAACCCTTTTTCCTAGTTCCAACAGACCTCACTACCTCTGAGGATGCTTGCCATAGATGCAGGCGAAACGTCAGGAGAGAATGCCTCTAGACCAGGGGTCCACAAACTTTTTAAACAGAGGGCCAGGTCACAGTCCCTCAAACTGTTGGAGGGCTGGATTATAATTTGAAAAAAATAAATGAATTCCTATGCACACTGCACATATCTTATTTGTAGTGCAAAAAACACTTAAAAACAATACAATAATTAAAACGAAGAACAATTTTAACAAATATAACTTATTAGTATTTCAATGGGAAGTGTGGGCCTGCTTTTGGCTGATGAGATAGGATTGTTGTTGTTGTGTGCTTTCAAGTCGTTTCAGACTTAGGTTGACCCTGAGCGAGGGCCGGGTAAATGACCTTGGAGGGCTGCATCCGGCCCCCGGGCCTTAGTTTGAGGACCCCTGCTCTAGACCATGGCCATATAGCCCAGAAAAAAAAAACCCTACAACAACCCAGAAATATTTTCTGTTCTCGGTTTGAAAGTGTTATTTCCTGTTTAATTGTGTGATACTTAGTTTGAAAATAGGTGCTATACTTCAGAAACTTTGTTTTTTGTGGCTGCCACAAACTATGTTGAATTGGCTGAGACTCTATGGGATATTTATTGAAAAACTATAGCAAAATGTCCCACAAAAACAAACCTTTTGCAGTTTAATAAACGTTTTCCATGTTTTTTTTTTTATCACAGAACCAATTAGAAAATGACATTTATAACCCAGGAATGAAAGTCAAGTTACATATTGTTATCAGAAAGAGCAATTCTGATCAAGAAGCACCAATGGGCAAACATAAAAAACTTTACTAAATAGAAGAATAGTTTTTTTTCTGGCTGTATCATCAACAGGTTGGTGACATGACTGATAGTCAAACTTTCTAACAGACAGACAACACTATAGAGTTACAGAACTGTGGAATAAAGGGCACCCATGAATAAAACAAGGCTGTCTGGCAGATCTAGCCATGGACAACGCTTGAACGCATAGGCAGGGTGCAGGGAGAATTGCGTAAACCAATCCAGAGGATGTGTGAATGATTCAAAGTGCTTTAATGTTAACGGCTGCCTACAACAGTCTGTCTGAACATCATGCTTCTGCTCTTTGGCAAGCCCAATCCAGCACTTCCCTAGGATAACTGTAGCAGAAATGTTTGGCATCCTTGCCAGAAATTCAGCCTTTCTTTCCTGGTTTAAAAGATTCCTGAAGAAAAAGGCAGAATTTTTCACATTCTGTACTATTCACTTTGGAAGTTGCAAGGTGGCTGAGAGGTAGTGTTTACACAAGGATCTGGTAACCTGGGGCACATCCAGAGAGTGTATGAATGGATTTTGACACCACTTTAACTACAAGGACTCAATGCTATGGATTTCTCGAATTTTATTTGGTGAGGCATCAAAACTATTTGACAGAGAAGGTTAAAGGCCTTGTAAAATTACAGCTCTCGTGATTTCATAGCATCGAGACAATGAAGTTAAAATGATGTCAAACTGAAATAATTTTACAGTGTAGATTGGGGTCCCCAAACCTTTTAAACAGAGGGCCAGGTCACAGTCTCTCAAACTGTTGGAGGGCTGGATTATAATTTGACAAAAAATGAATGAATTCCTATGCACACTGCACATATCTTATTTGTAGTGCAAAAAACACTTCAGAACAATACAATAATTAAAATGCAGAACAAAATATAAACAAATATAACAAATTTATATTAACAAATATAAAAATTAGTATTTCTGGGTTGTCGTAGGTTTTATTTAGTAAATAAATAAGTATTTCATTGGGAAGTGTGGGGCTGCTTTTGGCTGATGAGATAGGACTGTTGTTGTTGTTGTGTGCTTTCAAGTCATTTCAGACTTAGGTTGACCCTGAGTGAGGGCTGGGTAAATGACCTTGGAGGGCCGTATTCGACCCCCAGGCCATAGTTTGAGGACCCCTGGTGTAGATGTACCCTCGGAGACAGCTATCTATTTATTATCTATCATTTGATTAATTTCTATACTGTCTTTCTCCCAGGAAAGGACCCAAAGCACTTTACAGCATAAAACAAAACATCTAAAATAATTCAATTATAGCATCGGAGAATAATAATAATAAAAATACATTATTATTTTAAAGCCAAGATCAGAATCAGGACAGTTTGAATTATTTTAAAACAGAACAAAAAAGGGAAAAAAACACAATAAATCTTAATGGTCCAAAGCCTATTTGAATAAAAAGGTATTTTTATGCAGGTAGCTGGAGAGCAGAGAGGGGGCCAGCCAAACTTCACATGAAAGGGAGTTCCATTCAATACACCATGCTGGGTCTCTAAATAAGAACATTAATTAACAGACAGGAGCCCCCAATGGCGCAGTGGGTTAAACCCCTGAGCCAGCAGGACTGAAGGCCGGTGGTGAAGGGTGGTGAAATCCTTGCAGGGCAGCAGAACATACTTGTATTATTGTATGGTAACTTTATCTATGTTACATGGTCTTCTGGTATTCCATGTGACCATAGTGCTCGCCAGATCAGGTCATGCGGAACACTATCAAATGCTTTTTTGGGGTCAAGGAATGCAAAGTGCAGTGGTTTCTTCTTTTCCTGACGTTTTTCCATGAGTAACTGGACAGCATGTATTGAATCTGTTGTGCCACATCCCCTAACAAAGTCACACTGGTGTAGTGGCTGTGTGACATCTTAGCCTTTTATCCAGCATCCCAGGTTTTCTGTTTATCCCAGATTACCTGGCAGTGTGGACTCATATAATCTAGTTTAAAGCAGAAAACCTGGGATCAGATCCTGGGATATAGGGTCTGTCTGGAAGGGCCCTCAATTTTTTTCATTACATGACATTTCATTATTTCCTAATGACCATGTGACCAGGATTTCAATTTCTTCCTGAAGGTCAGGAGGGAGGGGCAGACCTAACCTCATTGGGGAGTTCCATAGCCGCAGGGCCACCACAGAGAAGGCCCTGTCTCTCATCCCCACGAAGCACGACTGCGAAGGTGGTGGGACTGAGAGCAGGACCTCTCCGGAAGATCTTAAAGTCCTTGATGGTTTATAGGAGAAGATATGTTTGGACAGGCATTGTATTTCTCTTAGGGGTGTAGCTATGTGGGAGGGGATTATGACTTTGCCTTTTCCAAATAAGAATCCTGTCCTTAATGAAATATTTCTTCAGTCCTTGAATTACTACCACTGCAGGGAATAAGACATTAAAAACCATTCAGGTCTACAACTTTCATACAAGAATTTGCAGCGTTTCCATTGCTGTGTTTGCATTTGCTTGCTCCTTTGATGCCTAAAGTGTGTTCCTAAACAGTTGAGTTGCTGCAATGCTCGGAATTCGAAAACCGAAGGGAAATTTCATTGAAGGGGCAGAGGTCTTGCACTATGTAACACGATTTTTGTTCCTGAGTTATTAATATCATTTCCTAATTGGTTCTATCATAGAAACATGGGAAAAGTTTATTAAACTGTAAAAACTTTTGTTTTTGTGGGACATCCTGCAGCACGTTTTGTTATAGTTTTACAATGAATCTCAGCCAATTCAACATAGTTTGTGGAAGCCACACAAATGAAGTTTAACAATTACTCCAAGTAAAGGAGGTAAAAAGCTTTCCCCTTGACACAGGCCCGTAGCCAGGATTTTGAATCAGGGGGTTCTGAGTTTGATTCGGGGGGTGGGTTGGTGTGGTGCTGAGTTTGATTCAGAGGGGGGGGGTGAGGATCTACCCTAGCAAACCTTTTGTATCATTATCCCAATACCCCCATGCATATGGGATATATTGAGCATGGTGATCAGATCATGATATGAATAACAGTTTAAATAATGTACCAGTAAGGCCTTCTCACAGACCACTCTGAGAACATTAAGTGTCCGACTCTGGGGGGTGGTGCTCATCTCCATTTGTAAGCCAAAGAGCCGGCATTGTCCATAGATGTCTCCTAGGTCATGTGCCTGGCATGATTGCATGGAACGCCATTACATTCCCACTGAGGCGGTGTCTATTGATCTACTCACATTTGCATGATTTCAAATGGTTAGATTGGAAGAAGCTGGGGCTAACAACAAGAGCTCACCCCGTCCCACCAATTCGAGTCACCAGCCTTCTAATCAGCAAGTTTTGTAGCTTAGCGGTTTAACCTGCTGCACCACTGCGACCCCTCTTCAAAGTAAGTACTACACAAATAAACAGGAAATAACATTTTCAAATCAGGAACAGAATTTTTTTCCATTTTTTTTACATAGTGTTATTGATCTAGAGCAGGAGTCCTCAAACTAAGGCCCAAGGGCTGGATACGGCCCTCCAAGGTCATTTACTCAGCCCTTGCTCAGCATCAACCTAAGTCTGAAACGACTTGAAAGCACAACAACAACGACAACAATCCTATCTCGTTGGCCAAAAGTAGGCTCACACTTCCCTAATAAGTTTATATTTGTTAAATATATTTGTTAAATATTTGTTATTGTTACTAATAAGTTTATATTTGTTAAAATTGTTCTTCATTTTAATTATTGTATTGTTTTTAAGTGTTTTTTGCACTACAAATAAGATATGTGCAGTGAGCATAGGAATTCATTCATGGTTTGGTTTTTTCTCAAATTATAATCCGGCCCTCCAACAGTTTGTGGGACTGTGACCTGGCCCTCTGTATAAAAGGTTTGAGGATCCCTGATCCAGAGCATATACCCCATCTGTTAGTTATTTCAAAGGAGCAATGCCATAATTTATTATTTATTTATTTATTTATTTGCTGCATTTGTTGACCGCCGCTCTCAGCCCTAGGGCGACTCGCGGCGGTGTACAACATATAAAAGACAATTTACAATAAGGCAAAAATGAAAAATCAACAACACTAATACACAGTAATATAATTACACTAAATAATCCGCTCCGTCTCGTCATAGAATCATAACCAAACTCGTAATCCATATTCCGTTCCCGTTGTCATTACCAGTTAATAGCACTCAATTAAATGCCTTCTCAAATAGCCATGTCTTTAGGCTCTTACGGAAAGACATAAGGGAGGGCGCCTGTCTGATGTCAACAGGGAGGGTGTTCCACAGCCGGGGGGCCACCACCGAGAAGGCCCTCTCTCTCGTCCCCGCCAGACGTGCCTGTGAAGCAGGCGGGATCGAGAGAAGGGCCTCCCCAGACGATCTCAAGGCCCTCGTGGGCTCATAGGCCGAGATGCGGTCCGAAAGGTATTTTGGGCCGGAACCGTTTAGGGCTTTGTAGGATAACACCAGCACCTTGAATTGGGCCCGGTAGCAGATCGGCAGCCAGTGGAGCTGGGACAACAAGGGCGTTGTATGCTCCCTGCGTCCCGCTCCCGTTAGTAACTTGGCTGCCGCACGTTGGACCAATTGAAGCTTCTGGGCCGTCTTCAAGGGCAACCCCACGTAGAGAGCGTTGCAGTAGTCAAGGCGGGATGTGACCAGAGCGTGTACCACCGTGGCCAAGTCAGACTTCCCAAGGTACGGGCGCAGCTGGCGCACGAGCCTAAGCTGTGCAAATGCTCCCCTGGTCACCGCTGAAACCTGGGGATCCAGGCTCAAAGATGAATCCAGGGTCACACCCAAGCTGCGAACCTGCGCCTTCAAGGGGAGTGCGACCCCGTCCAGCACAGGCTGTAACCCTATACCCTGTTCGGCCTTGCGACTGACCAGGAGTACCTCTGTCTTGTCTGGATTTAATTTCAGTTTGTTCGCCCTCATCCAGACCATTACAGCGGCCAGGCACCGGTTCAGGACCTCGACAGCCTCCTTAGTAGCAGGTGGGAAGGAGTGACAGAGTTGGACATCATCTGCGTACAGATGACACCGCACCCTGAAACTCCGGATGATCTCACCCAGCGGCTTCATGTAGATATTAAACAGCATGGGGGACAGTATAGAGCCCTGTGGAACCCCACAGGTCAAAGGCTGTGGTGTTGAACAGGAGTCCCCCAATAACACCTTCTGGGTACGACCCTCCAGAAATGACTGGAGCCACTGCAGAGCAGTGCCCCCAAGACCCATTTCCGCAAGGCGTCCCAGAAGGATACCGTGGTCGACGGTATCGAAGGCTGCTGAGAGGTCCAGGAGCACCAACAGGGACACACTCCCCCTGTCTAGCTCCCGGCGCAGATCATCCACTAAGGCGACCAAGACCGTCTCGGTTCCATGTCCCGGTCTGAAACCAGACTGTGCCGGATCCAGATAATCCGTGTCTCTCAAGAATACCTGGAGTTGTGAGGCCACCACGCTTTCCATGACTTTGCCCAAAAAGGGGAGATTGGAAACA